ATATGAAATTTGGTAGGTGCCATCTTCTCATTGGGGTGCGCCTAGAAAAATGTTAAAAATAATTTTTCGATAAAATATAATGACCAAAATACACCTTGAAAATTTCAGGGGTATTTTGGTCACTTTATTTTATTTTATTGAAAATATTTTTTTTTATATTTTTCGCTAGTGCGAGTTTAATAGAAGAATGGATGTCCAAATTTTGGTGTCAAAATAGTTTGTAGAAAAAATTAAAAATAAAATAGTGTAGAAACAGAATACTGTGATTGAGGCAATCTTAGCTGTCCATTCAGAATGGACGGTTGGGTAAGGGGGAATATATAAATTTTATGCTATAAAAGAAGCATAGAAAGCTTGCCCATTTGTTTATTTTTACTTATTCATGATCTCCATATTTAGGGATTTTTAAGAGGGTACACATTTCTGTATACAAGTCCTAGGACTCATAGAAATCGTGAAACAGTCACTTAGGACGATTATTTTGATAACAATTTCCGAGATGTACTTTAGATTTATTAGATGAGTTTCTTTAAAAAGGAAAAAGAATAGATTTTGAGTTTTCAAATGCTCGATCATATCATTAGATGGGTGCAGTTGCCATATGGATGCATATGTAGCTGTAGAGGTAAGGTCCACCTTCAAATTTTACCATGGTATATGATTTTGATGTAAAATGTTATTGGCATTATCTTAAAATTTATTTTGATATCTAATTATAAAATTTTAAATTTCAAAAATGGCTAAAATCAAGTAGATATATAAACATATGAAAATATTGAAAATGGACGGCGTAGATAATATGTTGTAAAATGCACTATTTCTGAGACTTAAAATCCTTTATTTTTCATAGTCATACATCTCGATGTCGAGATGATCAATCAAAACGTTTTTTGATATTAAAACTACCTTTTCCGATTGATTTTGAGGTGCATCCGTAGCTATAGAGGTAAGGTTGCAACCTTATATAAACTTTTTCCGTTATAGATTGGTCTTTTCCGATCTTTTATAAATTAGATTGTCTCTGTTAAATCCTAGGACATTAATTTTCAGGTGCATATAAAATTTTGTCCTCCTTAAAGTTGGTCACTAGTTTTAAGAGATTAGGTGCCCTAAAAGTAATACTACCCTATAATTGTTAGAAAAACCGGGCAATCTAACCGATAACTGCCCGGACTTGGCCAATGGCTGGTCGGTTTCGATTTTGGGCAGTTTTGATGATCCATCGATATTTAAAAATAAAAAATTAAAAAGTGTATATAAATTCCCAAAAATAAGGAATTTGGTTTGTAATTCATTTTTTAATATGCTTTACATTATGAAAAATATTAAAAATTGTTTTTGTTATTAATACTCACTTTAATTCAAAAATAGATTCGTTAAAATTTATTTTTTCCATTAATTTTCAACTTCATTTGAATATGCTGTGTTTTAATAATTCTTTATGTGCTGTTCATATTTTAATTTTTTTTTGTATCCTTTTTATTTTTCATCACTTTTTTGACCGCTCAAGAGTTGCCTGTTAGAACGGTTGAATTGGTCGGTTTACCAGTTAGGCTAGTTAAACTGCTTCCAGTCCCATATCCGGTTAACCGTTCCGATTCGATTTTGTGAATATTGAGGGGCACATGTACTTCGCAGTGTATCAAAGATCTAACTGGGGCCGGTCAACCGGTTAGAAATTAAAAATTTAAAATAAAAAGTAATAAATAAAAAGAGTTTATGTTTGGGATTTGTTTTAAGTAAAATAAAAAATAAAAAAAATGGTTCAAAAAATGTAAAAATAAAAAACTTATTTGGGATATATATATATATGAGTAATGATCCTATGAGACCCTCCCACACCCATGTGTGTAGGACCCCAAAAGATCACCATTAAATTTTCCATAGATCTCTAGAAAAATTATCACATGAGTGTGGGACTTGACTTTTTTAGAGATTTGTGCTAAATTTAATGGTGATCCATTGGGGTCCTACACACATGGGTGTGGGAGGGTCTCATATTTCTATCATTTTTGGTACATTTAAGAAGTATTTTGGCTGTAAATACTTGTTTTCACTTTTTTTTTTTTTATACTTTTTGAATTACTTCAAAAATATGCCTAGTCACAAGCAAACCTCGGGGTTAGCCGTATATAGGGCTGCAGGCGGTTCAACAAGCCTAATCGGGTAAGTCTCGGGCGGTCAAAAAAGTATTAAAAAAATACAAAACAAATCTAATAAAATATGAAAAGTATATTTAAAGATTATAACAAAGCACATTCAAATGGAATAGAAAATTAATGAAAAAATTGATTTTAAAGAATCATTTGTGCTTGGGGGTATTTTTGAAAATTTCTAAAAAAGATGAAAAAAAATAAAAGTAAGTATTAATGGCAAAAATAATTTCCAATCTTGATCAAAATGATGAAAAACATTAAAAAATACATTACCAATAAAATCCCTTATTTTTAAAATTTTATATAATTTTTTTAACTTTTTTTAAAATACCTAGCCGAATCGCCAAAATCGGCCCGACGACCGATTCCAACCTAATCTAGATGTTAAAATTTGAACTGTCCGGTTTTTCCTATACCGAGAAAAGCTGCATATATAGAGGACACAGTCCGATACTTTAAATGTCGAACCAAGTTCTCGAGGGAAGCCTTAAATGTGGTTTGGTAGTTGAAAGCTGCAAATATAGAGGACACAGTCGGATACTTTAAATGTCGAACCAAGTTCTGGAAGAAGCCTTAAATGTGGTTTGGTAGTTGAAGTACTCGTCTAGAGTTATTTTGGGCGAAAAATACCGATGAAAATAAGAACTTAATTTTTTACCATTAAAAAAAATGAATTAATGTTTTAACTTCCAATATTTTTGAATTGGCATAAATCATATTTTTAATCATGTTCATTTATCATTGGGATGTTTAAAATTTAGGTGATGGTGTAATGTAATATAATTAACCTCCAGCGACAGGTATATTTTCATTAATATTTTAAAAAACAAAAATAAAAAAAAGTACTATATTTTACAATTCAACTATCTTTTAGCAAAGATTACAAATCAGCACGGGAAGTCTTTCTAATAGGTTTCTTTTGTTAGCGGAATGTAATTTATTCTAAAATAAATAATGTGGTTTTGGTTCCCTCTTAGATGTCTTAAATGAATAGCTTAAACTTAACCGTCCACAGCAACCCTACCTACCCCACTACGAAAATCTTTGCCTACAGCGAACCTGTTTCCTCCCCTCCTCACCACGAAACTCCTTGCCCACAGCGAACCGGCTTCCTC